CCCCGGCCACTTCTGCCAGCTCCTCCGGGGGGATCCCGAGGCGTTCCAGGGTCAGCCGAGACACATAGTCCCTCCAGCGTGTCCTGGGTCTTCCTCTGGTGGGACGTGCCCAGAACATCTCACGAGGGAGGCGACCAGGAGGCATCCTAATCAGATGCTCGAGTCACCTCAACTGGCTCCTCTCCACGTGGAGGAGCAGCGGCTCTACTCTGAGCCCCTCCCGGATGGCCGAGCTTCTCACCATATCTCTAAGGGGGAGCCCAGCCACCCTGTGGAGGAAATTCATTTCGGCCACTAGCATCCATCATGTCCTTTTTTCGGTCGTTACCCAAAGTTCGTGGCCATAGATGAGGGTGGGAATGTAGATCAACTGATAAATTGAGAGCTTCACCTTTAAGCTCAGCTCTCTCTTCATCAGGACAGACCGATACAGCGCTCGCATTACTGCCTCTCCATCTCGTGAACAGGACCACGAGGTACTTGAACTCCTCCACTTGGGGAAGGACGTCCGCTCCGACCCGGAGAAGGCACTCTACCCTTTTCCGGTGAGAGACCATGGTCTCGGACTTGGAAGCACTGATCCTCATCCCAGCCGCTTCGCACTCGGCTGTGAACCGCTCCAGCACGAGCTGTAAGTCAAAACTTGATGAAGCCAACAGGACCACATCATCTTAAAAAAGCAGAGATGCAATCCCAAGGCCACCAAGACTGACACCCTCAACACTTCGGCTGCACCTAGAAATCCTGTCCATAAAAGTTAGTAAGTAAACACAAATATACATATGTTAACTTTAAGTGAGTTTGAATCAGTATTACAGCTTTTAAAGATTAAATGAATCAACACAGTTTACAGAATATGAAAACACAAGTTTTAGAAGTTTTAGAAGTGTAGTGTCCTAACATGACCACTAGAGGGTGCTACTGCTCAGATGAGGGTTCAGCTTTGACAGAAACTGAACAATAGGCCAGTTTTTTATCGCCTTGGGAAATGTGGATATTCAGGAGCTTTGTAGCCCCACCCAAGAGTTTATTTCAAGTTCAGACTATTTACAAGTAGTTGTGCTGCTGGTTTTTATTAACTTCCAAGTTCCCCGAGTAGGTGACTTTGCTGCTCATGTGAAGCAAGAAATGCTCCTTTTCTCTCACACAGTCAGCAAATAAATAACCTAAACAATCAGTTAGAATAAAGCAAACTTTAAATGTCATGAAAACGTAACAGGAGAAATGCGGTTTGGCTCCATTTCACCAGCATCTTCATTTAAAAGTGGAAACATGCTTTCAGATGTATTCAGTCTCAAACCAGTTTAACCAGTTTTAAACCAACACAAGTTTTAAAAACACATGAAATCGTTTTACATTTGAGGCAAATGTGTTTTGGTTTGGATGGATGTAACCAAGTACCTGCAGGAATCAAGGACAGGTGGACCTTTGGGAGCACGGTCCAAAGGAAGCATGTCAGTTCAATTCAAAATGTCTCCAAAAATGGATCCTTTAAAACTTCTCTGTTTGGTGGATGAGGGTGACAATCACCAGAGGAAATGAGCTAGATTTGTTGGAATTTGGGAATAAAAAAAAATCTCCTAACAGAAAACTAGATAATAAAAACACACAGTAACCTTTAACCAAAGTCAGGATTAGGTTGCAGGAAATTCTGTTCTAAAAATAGCTGCAAATAGTTTTAAAATTGGTTTTAAATCTGCCACAAAAGTGCTTTAAATAAGTCAGATCCACTCTTACATAATCCCACATCCATCCGACCTGTTCACCAAACAGAAACCTGCTGGTTGCTGCTTACATTCGGGGAATAATGTGGGTTTAAAAATGCCAGGATTGTTATCAGTGACCTCTGTATAGTGTCGAGCTAATGTTGCTGGAAAAGTTTTAGCTCAGCTTTGAACATTTATGTGTTCATCAACATGAATTACATATGGACTTACAAGGGGAAAAAAAATGTTGCATTCAACTATGCAAAGAGGAGGGCAACAAGTGTGTTTGTCCTTTTACATACAAGATAAATAGATGGAATTTAATCTAATCTCACAATCAGGAAGAAACAGAAAGTCCGACAGGAAGAAGGAAGATTTACTGTAAAGAACAAGTCCAACCATGGTTGATTAAAATAAGTATTCAGATCAATTAGGTTCTATTCATTTTGCATCAAATCACAACAAACATCCTCTTCAGCCATTTCCAAAGTACAGTCAATTTGGAGTGATGCAGGCACAAAGGCCAAAAGAGCTATTATGGATGTGGTGATATGTTTTGTTCTTCCAAAAAATACAGAAAAGGTGAAAAATGTCCTCAAACATTTTTGTCCAGCAGCCAGACGACATTTCCTTCTAATTAAATGAAGAAAAGGACAAACCACCCTCTCACTTTGGGACTTGTTTGTATGTTAGTGTTTTTAAAATACAAAAATCATCACTGTAGCGTTGGAGAGGAAAGGATGCTGCACCATGTCGTGATCGCTCAGGCTTTAATGGTCTGGAAATGATGAAGAATCCAATTTAAAACGTTTAAACATGCATGTTAACTTTCAAAAAGGTCACAGAAATGATGCATGCTTATCGAAAATGAAAAAATGTCCGGAATGAAGAAGTATTCAAAAGAACTATCAGTTTACCATCGTATCTGCTACTTCCTGCAGTTTGACACGCAACAAACTGCAGATTAAATACCAAAGTTCAGACTGTAAATTAGGAAACTGGTGTTTGGTAAGAGAAAATGCAGAACTCTGCCCTTTTCTTACCTTTAAAGTGTATGAATATCTTCTTATAAATCAACTGCCCTCACTTCAACTCAGTTCACTTTATTTACATAGTGTGAGTTAGCAGCAACGGTAATTATGAGAATTTCTGCTCATTGTAACCCAGTTCAGAGTAGTTTAATTCTACTTGTTTATAAAAAAAGCTTAGCTACAAGGCAAAGCAACAAATCTTTCATCCTGAGGATAAACAAGATGGAGGACGACTCAGAGAGGAAGAGGAGGGTGCATGAATAAAAATGTAATTAATACAAAATGTACATCTGTATCTATATTTATGTATAAAGAAGAGGTGATTTGGACTCCACTTTGAAAGCCCTTTATCCTTGATGGTGGTTTGTGTCAGACACTAATGAAAACCTCCTTACAGGAGGGGCTCATGCTAATCGTAAGGTGAGCTCTAAATACTCTAAACAGGTTCTGCTGGGACTCATCTTCAGTGTCCAGACTTCCTGGAAAAAAACACACACAAAACATCTGAAGTATGCAGTCAACACCAGTGTGTGCTGTCCATCCATCCATCCATCCATCATCAACCGCTTATCCGTGGTCGGGTTACGGGGGCAGCAGCCGAAGCAGGGAAACCCAGACTTTCCTCTCCCTGCCACTTCTTCCAGCTCCTCTGGGGGGATGCCAAGGTGTTCCCAGGCCAGCTGAAAGACATAGTCCCTCTAGCGTGTCCTGGGTCTGGAGCCTGGAATGCCTCCCCAGGGATGCGACCAAGAGGCATCCTATTCAAATGCCCAAGCCACCTCAACTGGCTCCTCTAGCAGTGGTTCTACTCTGAACCCCTCCCGGATGGCCGAGCTTCTCACCCTATCTCTAACGGAAGGCCCAGCCACCCTGCGGAGGAAACCCGTATTGATTGCTTGAATCCGCAATCTCCGGTCATTACTCAAAGTTCGTGGCCATAGATGAGGGTGGGGATGTAGATCAAAAGATAAATCAAGAGCTTTGCCTTTAGGCTCAGCTCTCTCTTTATCAGGACAGACCGGTACAGCACTCGCATTACTGCCAATGCCGCACCGATCCGCATGTCGATCTCCCGCTCCCTACCCGCTTTCGAGAACAAGACCCTGAGGTACTTGAACTCCTCGACTTGGGGAAGGACATCCCCCCGACCAGGAGGAGGCACTCTACCCTTTTCAGGAGAGAGACCATGGTCTCGGACTTGGAAGCACTGATCCCGAACCGCTCCAGAGAGATGTAGGTCACGACTTGATGAAACAAACTGGAGCACATCATCTGCAAAAAGCAGAGATGCGATCCTAAGGCCACCAAGACGGACACCTTCGAGAACTCGGCTGGGCCCACAAATTCCGTCCATAAAAGTTATCAACAAAACCGGAGACAAAGGGCAACCTTGGCGGTTTTTCAACTCTCACCGGAAACTGATCCAACTTACTACCGGCAATGCAAACCAAGCTCTGACTCCGGTCGTACAGGGACCGAACAGCCCGTAACAAAGGGCCCGGTACCCGATACTCCCGGAGCACCCCCCACAGCATACCCCGAGGGACACGGTCGAACGCCTTCTCCAAGTCCACAAAACACAAGTGGACTGGTTGAGCGAACTCCCATGCACCCTCTAGGACCCCACTGAGGATACAGAGGTTGTCCAGCGTTCCACGGCAAGGACGAAAACCACTCTGTTCCTCCTGAATCCGAGGTTGGACTATCCGACGGACCCTCCTCTCCAGAACCGTCGAATAGACCTTTCCAGGGAGGCTTAAGAGTGTGATTCCCCTGTAATTGGGACACACTCTACGGTCCCCCTATTTAAATAGGGGGACCACCACCCCAGTCTGCCAATCCAGCAGAACTGCCCCTGATGTCCACGCGATGTTACATAATCGCTTTATCCAATGCAGCCCCACAACATCCAAAACCCCGAGGAGCTTTGCAACCTCAGAGCTTTTTAAACAAATGGGTGACTTCAGCCCCAGAGATTGGAGAGCATGACCCCAGATCCACAGGCTGTGCCCCTCCAATGGAAGACATGCCAGTAGGATTGAGAAGGTTTTCGAAGTACTCTGCCCATCGACCCACCACGTCGGGAGTTAAGGTTAACAGCACACCATCCTAGTGTTGGTGGAGCACTTCCCCCCAGCAGCCCTGCGTTTGGGCCTGCCTGGTCTCACTGGCATCCTCCCCCACCATCGGAGCCAACTCACCACCAGGTAGTGGTCAGTGGAAAGCTCCGCCCCCCTCTTCCCTCGAGTGTCCAAGAGATATGGCCAACGATCAGATGAAACAACAACAAAGTCGATCATTGAACTGCGGCCTAGGGTATCCTGGTGCTAGGAGCCCATATGGACACTCCTATGCCTGAACATGGTGTTTGTTATGGACAATCCGTGCCGAGGACAGAAGTCCAATAACAAAACACCACTCGGGCTCAAGCTGGGGGTCCATTCCTCCCAACCACGCCCCTCCAGGTCTCACTGTCATTGCCCACATGAGCGCAGAAGTCCCCAAGAAGAACAAGGGACTCCCAGGGGGGGCACCCTCCAGCACCCCCTCTAAGGACTCCAAAAAGGATGGGTAATCTGCACTGTTGTTAGTTCATCATAATGGATCTTTGGGCTTCGTTTAATCCCTTGCCGAGGACCTGTTTGCCTTGGGTGACCCTACCAGGGGCTTAAAGTCCCGGACAATATAGCTCCTAGGATCATTGGGACACTCAAACCCCTCCACCACGGTCCACCAGCCCGGGTGTTAATCTGACTTTCTTTTTGTTTGCAGGTTGTGAGTCCATTCCCACTTCAATTAAATAACCCATCTTTGTGCATTGTTTTGCCAGCGAGGAGAGTTTCCTTCCTCCATCAAGGAAAGAATGAAGGAAACTATGACGACGGCAAAACTGGTTGGTCCATAGCTTGATGTCATGCGATATAAAGCATATAAAGTCAAGAAATATATTTCCTCTTCAATGAAATAGGGTGGTCGCGCCATCATTGAGAACTGCATTTTATGTGAGTGTGCACGTACTCCATTAAAGTTAAAGCAGGTTCAACAAATCAACCTCCTTACCAGCTTCATAGTACCAAACAACTCAACTTTCAGATGCCTGGGTAAATAATCAGGAGAATGCACTCTTCAGTGAGAGGCTTCAAGGCCAAAAAATTGTCTATAGCCCAAAAGAAATCACCTCTGAAAAGCGGAGGCAGTCTTAACTATAAAAGGTAAATGAAATAAAAACCAACCCTTTAGCAGACGCAAGATAGGGCTATACAAATTTACAAAACAAAAGATCACTTGGCAAATTTATATGTAAACTATGAAAGTTATAACAAAATAATTAGCACTCAAGAAAATAGAAGAACCACGAGGCTATGAGAGTGCAACAGAAAAATCCCTCCACTGAGGAGGAAAATCAAAACAAATGACCAATAAAAAAAGGCGACAATGCTATGAAACTAACCAAATCAAACCTCTCTTTTTGAGAGGTCTAAATCAAAACAAGACTGTGACTCACGTGACAAGAAAAGCACTGTGAGACGCTATAAATACTCTGACATGCAAAGCACTGTGGCACAAGACAAGGGGCGCCGCAGACTACAAGTACACAAGAGTGGAACAGGTGGACACATTCAGGAATTAGGGAAGATAAACTGTTAGCACAACAGGAGAGTTACTATTTCGAAATAACACAGGAAACGACAAGAATAAGAAAAAAACAAAAACAAAACAGAGAAGCCAGGCGTGACAGACACAGGAAGACAGACATGTTGAGGTAAGTCAAGCTTATGTTGTATTTACGATTTAAGGGATTTCTTACTTTAAACCAGCAGGATAAAGTGTTCAACGTTTTATAAACTGCACAGATGATAATAAACACAGACTAAGAGAAGCTACGCTTTCATTAAACCGAAAACGAAACCATGGACCAAAACGGGAGAGACTCTCCAGGATTTAATGAATACTAACTAAAAAAATCCACTAAAGGTAAAAATGCATTTTTGATTAACAGCTGAGATTTGAATAGTCTTCTTGCTATGCGCGCAGTATTTTTACAGAATATAACCTAACATACACAGTGTATTTTTAAAGGAAGCCTTGTGCTGCTATGTTTTTTACACCGCAATGTACACAGATACGGTGAGAAGTTTTGCGGAGATTCTCCCTGAAAGGACGCTGGCAAGAGAGATAGAAATTCAGCTTCTGGTCGACATCAAAGACCGATTAGACAAGTTTTACTTTAAGCTCAGTAACGTCAGCCCCACTTTTTAAAACTTTTTTACTTTTAAAGCAAAGTTGTTATTGCTTACAGAGTGTGTTTGTGCCTTTTTCCAGCAGCTAATCAGTCAAACTGGTGTTGATCTGATCCCACATATCTGCATCTGGTCTGAGAATGCGTAACAAGAATGAAACCATTTGCATCATCTGGCTGTTTTAACATTAAACAATTTTCCATAAAGCAAAAACATGTGAAGGTGTTACGTTTTAAATGAATATGAAATAAATGAATTGCTTCGATGATAAATTATACTACTATACTCTCTATCTAATTCATAATTATTTAGCTGACTATTTCAGTTTTAATTCTACTTTCATTTAAGTTTACATCTCTTTCCTATTTTCCTTTTAAGAATTGTGTCTTTTAAATCAGAATATTTCTAGTTTCTTATTCAATGTATTTGTCGATTCTGTATTTGTATTATTTGCCTAAAGGTGGTAAAGAAATATTAATCTGCTCAAAATAATATTTTTAGTCAGGTTGAATGAATTTATAGTATTTATATTATTCATTGTTGTGAATTAACAAATATTTTCATGAAAAAGTCTTGAATGAAAACAATCGGGCATAAAATAAACTATTTTATTAATCCATTTTTATAATTCTGTATTGATTTCAGATCATAGAGTGGCTGATCTGTTTGTAAAGGTTCGGCTTGTTAAATGGCGTTTTATGCCAAGATTCGGTCTTCAGAAATTTGCTTCATAAAGTAATTCAAAGCTAAACTTTTGGAGAACTCTTAGAAAAAAAGCATGAATTCTGAATATCTAAAAATAAGAAAAAGTTATTGATACAGAGCGTGCACAGTTGGATTTCCTTGGACCTGTGGCTCTTGTATATCAGTACCTTTAACCCAGAGCTGCAAGCCCTGAGTGGGTTAAGGACACAGCTGCTTTGCTTCAGAGACTCTCTGTGTTATCAGAGCTGTAATAGGAGATAACCGGCCGGTTTTACTTCATCCGGAAAACATCCTGTTGGCAGTCTGACAGTTGACGGTTTTCCCTCCAGAGAAAACGAAAGCTCTTTGTTCTGGGTGGCGTTCAGGGAGTGTCAGGCTGGTCTGAAAAGCAGGTAGTGATAATACAGGTGGCCAGTTTCAGGGGGGACTATATCCTCTACCCTCAGGGGAGTCTGGACTCCAGTTTGTCACAAGTTTGCTGTTTTTTCTGTCTGTATCAGGGCGTGCTCTGAGTTGCTGTTTGTGTCAGAGTGGCTTGTTTGTCCTGAACAAAGCCTCACTGTTGTGTTGTGGCTGTGCATTGATGCTCTGTTTGTGGGGGTTAAAGCATCTCGGAACTCTCAAATAGAACTCAGGGGAACCTAAAAGTTTGCAGGGAGGATTTCTTTTTAAAATTATCTGGCAAAACATGACGTGAAGATTTTAGGAGATGAAACATTTCCCTGCTGTGTTCTGTGTTCTGCAGACAGGAACTGAAGGTGGCCTTGTGCCGCTACGCCTCGGACACCCTCTCCTCCATCCACACTGCGAGGAGATTCTGCCAGAGGTTCGACAAGTGGATGCTCCGGAGGGAAACGGAGCTGGAGATGATGATGGACATCAAAGACAGGACTGACCAGCTCAATACAAGCCTCAAAGAGGTCGGCAAGTCCGAGAGCAAAGGGAGCGCCTTCGGTCGCTATCTGAAGAACCTGTTCACCCCGGCGTCTGTCGACAAAAGGCCGGC